GCTTAAGAAACCACTACCAACTAGTAAGGTACACTTGCATTGCACGTATGGGATTTGGCAACAAAATATGAATAAATACCACACTATAGCATGTAAGTTTTGAGTCATATATGATGATGTAGATGTTCGTTTAATTCTTATAGTTCATCTCATTCAAAGTCAATTAATTATATAGAAAAGCTAATCTATTTTAAGATTCATGAAATTGTGCGTTGTAAAGCATAAAGTAAAAACAAATAATGGCAATTCATCTAGAAAAAAATTGAGCAACTATGATACAAAGATTCTAGAACAAAGGAGAAATGCTTGTGTGTTTGAGGTTTGTGCATTATGCTTAAGTTTAACCATGAAGTTTTCTAGATTGTACATGTGGCAAAATCTGGTGGAATATAGATGATATCCAACGGCTAGCAGTGCTCGGATTTGCCATTTCTGCATCGTCGGATTAGCTTCATATAACGATCATCTTTCAAAGTTATTCACATACTATATAGGGGTATATATAACTAGAAAAAAATACTGGCCTCTCTCCTTCCCATTGGGCCTCGCATACGAGGCTATCCCTAGCGATCGCATGGTAAATTTTTCGCATTTTCTAGTTGGTGCCTTCGGTGTCCGTTAAAATGGTACGGGAGCAACTAGTTGACGAGCGCTCATTCCGGAGCCTCGCAATCATCAACGTCACTTGGTGCGCTTTCAGTCGCCCCGCCATGTGTCGCGCTCTGAGCGCTCCATTCGCATTTTGTTATTTTTGATTTTCTGCATGCGTTTTCGGTTTTTAAACGGTTTTTGTTCTAGTTTTTTTCGACGTTTTGTTTTTTCATCGGTCTTTCTTAGCTTTTGGGTAAAAAAATGAAAAAAAATTTGCGTGAAAAAACGCATTTTCTTTTTTCTTTTTGCTTCCTCGAGAAGCACGACCATGCCTCTTGAAAACGAAAAAACATGTTTTCTGGGTTTTTTCTTTCGCGAGAGGTACGATTTTGCTTTCGCGAGAGGCACAGTCGTGCCTTTCGAAAATAAAAAAAATGCATATCTGTTTTTTTTCCTTTCACGAGAGGCACGGTTTTGCTTCCGCAAGAGACACGGTTGTGATTTCGCGAGAGGCACGGCCGTGTCTCTTTCGGAAAGGAAAAAACATGTTTTCTGTTTTTCTTTCTTTCTTGAGAGGCACGGTTTTGCTTATGATTGTTGTGATTTCGCGAGAGGCACGGTCGTGCTTCTTCTGGAAACAAGAAGACATGCTTTTGATTCGGGTTTTTTCATGGATTTTTTTGTTAAAACCTATCAACATGAATCTAGTTTTAAAGATCTCGATGCGAGAAATCCAATGGTAAAAACGGTTCGAGATTCGGACACACAGTTTAACAGATAAAAGATTTTGAATAAACGGATCTACTAAAAATGAGAAAACTCTCAGGTTACGACAAGTAACGCACATACAGCGCCCCACAATCTGAGAAGGTGAAATGATCTTTGCGATGAGTACTCTTAAATTAGTGATTTTATAATGGTACAGAGCGCACACCCCCATTCCATAGATTATATATGGACTGGCCCATACAAAGCGTTACGCGCGAACGCGAAGCTCGAGCGGATATCTGGCTGCCGAATTGGTTTTTACATCTTGTTTTAGGAAGCTTCTATTCCTTCTAACTTTATACTATTTTGGAACGGACGGAGTACTCCCTCCATTCCACAATGTAGTGTTTTCTTTATCCTGTGGTTCAACTTTGACCATAAATTTAACTATCAAGACCGATTGCGGCGGGAGCAAAAATTATATCAGTGAATTCGTATTCGAAAGAAGTTTCCAATTATATAATTTTTTTCTCCCGCCGCAGTTGGTCTCGTTGGTTAAATTTATGGTCAAAGCTGAACCTCAGGAAGCGTGGGCGCATTATATTTTGGAATAGAGAGAGTAGTAGCTTTCAGCCGTTTTTTCATGTTGGTTCAATGTGTTTGTTTGGCCGGTTTTCCTTAGAGGTTTTTCCTTTTTGTGTTTTTTTTTCTTCAAATCATGAACTTTTTTCAACTTTATGAACTTTATCAAATTCATGAACATTTTTATCAAATCCACATTTTTTTCTCATATTAGTGAACTTTGTTTCAGATGCGCGAACATTTTTCAAAATTCATGAACTTTTTCGAATTAGTAAACTTATATTTTTCAAATGAGCGAACTTCATTCGATTTCATGAACTTTTCTAAATTCACAGCTTTTTCAAATTTAAAATCTTGAGTTTTTTTAAAATGATAATATTTTTTATGAATTCATGAACTTTATTCAAAATCAAAATCGTGAACTCTTTAAAATAAGTGAACATTTTCTAAATGTACAAACTTTTTTTACAAATGTCAATTGGTCAACTTGTCAATGACCTAACAGTCAAATGAAAAAAAACTGACAAAGTGCGTGTCAGGTAGCACTGGGCCGCGGTCCACAAAGGCGAGCTGCGGGCGCTAGAAGAAGAAGAAACAACAGCGGAAGAAGAAGAGGAAGAGGATAAACTTCCACCTAGTTAGCGTCGATGAATTTTCCTCTATTCAGCCATATGAGTCTTAATAATCTGTACTGTCATTTGTTAGTACTTAGGATCAATTGCGATTTGTTTTCTAGCCAGGATTGAAACTATGTTTAGATTATATATGTGGTAAGATCATCACTAATGAGAAGTGGTGACAACACCTTATGCAACCAAACGGTGTGTGATTTGTGTGCCTACTGCAACGCGGCCAACCGAACAGCGGGTCAATATTGATTCTCTAATGCAGCCAACCTAGATACGAACAACCAAATTATGTGTAGATGCTGATTTTTAGGCTGTTTTATTTCAGACAGACTCGTAAAAGAACACATATAATGCAGGTAAAATCGCTGCATACAACCAAACACGCCCTTGAAGTTTTGAACTTGGTAGCCGTTCTATCGCCAGCCGATCCCTCCCGCCCGTGACGCCGGCCGTGTCGCGTTGTGTGCAAATGCCGAGCCCCGTGACCGTGAGCACACCGGAGCGCGCAACTTGCCACCGACAGGGCAGCCTCTAGCGCCGTCAGCCAGCGGCCGCCGGCAACGCATGCATGCACCCACTCATCGGTGTGCGTGCACCACTGGATGGACGTGCTACACGCCCACGTGACGTGCACAAGTAAACTGCGGCCGCAAATCCTGCTCGTGCGCCGTAGTAACAAAATGTACGTATGTAAAATGTAAAAAAAGTACAAACAACTTAAAAAAGTTTTCCAGAGCCTCAAGTGTTGTTACTCAATTTTTGCTCCGCACGGGCAATGGAGGTACCAGTAGTTGCATGCGCTCATTATGTTGTCCACCACATCTTTGTACGCTTTTGTTAATTTTTGATGAATCACGGCCACCTAAAAGTTTAGAGTACCATGCATGAAATTGCACTATTTACAGCCTTAACTTTGGTGAAAGTTAAACACAGTTATTTCGTTTGTGCTACTCCCTCCGTTCCTTAATATTTATCTTTTTAGAGATTTTAAATGAACTACTACATACGGATATATATAGACATATTTTAGAGTGTAGATTCACTCATTTTGCTTCGTATGTAGTCATTTGTTGAAATATCTAGAAAAACAAATATTTAAAAACGGAGGGAGTACTATATAGAGGGTGGCTTGGAGAAAATGCTTACTGGATCGATACACTACTTGAGTTTTGAGCGCCCATCCATTGCGTATGCAGTTGGATTTTCCATTTATGTTTGGTTCAATCAGCATCACTCTTTATTAGATTCTCACATGATGGCCCTTCGCCATCTCTATCAAATAATACTACAAATTTATAGCTCGACAATCACATGTCGTTCCCTCTTGCCAGCTTATCTCCTCGTGCTCCCATAGTTGTCGTCAAGCAATCTCCTCCCGTCTGATCTTCCCCGACGGTAGTTCTTGCTCGGACTGATTAAGGGGCATCCTTTGTGACACTGCCAGACCTTGGCGATCAGTTGTGGGGTCCCTCGACGGCTGGATCAGGTGCTAGGGTTTTGTTACGTCGTGACTTTCGATGCATCTGGTTGGGCTGGGTGTGCAGAAGGCGACCTATGATGAAGAGGCTAGTGCTCCGGTGCACCGTGAGGATTTCGATGATGTGGTCTTGAAGGAAGAGAAACACCCGTCGACGGATGCTACCCGGTGGCTAGCGATTGCAAGGGTCCATATGAAGAAAGATTTCAATGAGTTTTGGTTTTACAAGAACATGTGTAATGCATGGGATTTACTTTATAATGTTAAATTCAGATCTTTGGATAATAAACTATACACCATGCAAATTTTGGCAGATCTCAATGCCGAATTGTTGTATGGCTAGGTTCTGATCCATGGGATGTCTTGGAATATGTGATTGTAATTCCTAAGTTTTGAGTAATGCAGAAGTTATTTTGCAATAAAAATAACTATAAATTCATGAAGTTTTCAGATGGCACTGCATCTATTCAGTATTTTTAGCTGGAGGCAGCACCCTCCGGCGGTGATTAACTGATGAAGGCAGATACGTCAATAGTAACCATACACTCACTCACCGCCATTTGGTACTCTTACCACTGTTCCTGTGATAAGTTTGTACTTTGTAGTACTGTGCGATGCATGATTATGACACAGTTGGAGTACACAGTGCAATCACATGCATGCATGGGCGCCATATTTTCCTTGAGAACATTAAATCGGCGCCGAATATAGACAGCTCAAACCAACACGCCGCTACTTAATCCGGAGTACGTACTCCCATTCTCATCTTTTCTGCGATTTTTGTTTCCTTTGCATTGCGCATTAATTGCTGCATGTTCTTGCCACTAGAAATCAAACACGTTGTTAACAACTCGTCCGTCAATCCGATGAAAATGCAATCTAAATCCCACCACATACAGAGGAGAAATCATGCCAATTTACTTAATTTTATCTGAATGAATTCATGTTTCCGCGAGAGATTTACAGTAATATGAATGCGATCATTCGTATGAATTATAGGAATGACGTGTCGATCAGTTCGTGTTGAACGCCGAACACTCGTCTCTGATCTCCCCGGCGTCGCCGGTGATGGCGCCGATGGTGCCCATCTTGATCATGGCGGCCACAAAATCCTGCGAGAAGCTGGAAGACGCCGCGCCGAGGTAGGCGCCGACGAGCGCGCCGGTGGCGTTGCTGGCCTCGAGCGCCGCGTCGGAGGCGATGGGGACGAGGCCCGCGCGGATGTTGCGGAGGATGGAGTCGTCGAACGTGCCCTGGCTGCCGCGGTCCAGCGGTACGCGCGTGTTGAAGTCACCGGGCGCGCACCGGGCCTTGAGCTCCGACAGGAACGCCGCCGGGATCGACGGGTCCGACCCCGTGCGGCCGCCCGGCAGTGGGTAGCTGTACAGCCGATCCTTGACGAAGAAGCACGCCGTCGTGCCGATCGTGTGCGCCGCTGCATTTGCATGTCGCGGCGGAGGACGCCGTCGCGTGTCAGCGTGTGACGTGCATGCGCGCGCGTACGCACTACGTGAGCGATGTACGTACCTGTGAGGAGAACGAGGTCGCGGTCGTTGAGGCCGCTGGCGGCGAACTTGGAGCGGAGCACCTGGATGGAGTCGCTCACGTCCGGCAGCACGTCGGCGTCGCGCACGTTCGACGACAGCCCGTCGCGCCGCCCCGTCGGCACCTCGAACGACGGCCCGTTGGTCTGCTATGGCGCGCGTCAGACAAAGACAAGCAGCATCTCGATCGTCAGTGGCACCGCGCATCACGAGTTCCCGACAAGACTACAGACAAACACAGCGTGCATGCGGCACGAGTCGAACACCTCGTGTTAACATGACGTACGTACCATGGCTATGGCGTCGCGTGAGGCGAGAGCGATGATGTCGGCGCAGGAGACGACGCCGGGGCACTGCTCCTCGAGCTCCGCCTTGGCGCGGTCAACCACGTCCAGGCCGCGGAGGCCCTGGTGCTTGTTGTTGTTCACCTCCGCGGCGTTGCCCGCGCTCGTGATCAGCACCGACGCGTCGCATCCCTGCAGCAGCCACGCACTTGAATCACTCGCTCACTGCTACCCTGACATCGACACGGCTAACTGCATGGGCCATTCAGCCTGGCTATCTGCGCTCACTCTGACGAAGCAGTCGTGGAACTGGAGGCGGACGAGGGCGGGGAGGATGGTGGCGTCCGAGGCGGCGGCTTCCTGGACGGCGGCGGTGACGATGTCCTCGGCGCCGGGGCAGGAGTCGGAGTAGAACCCCATCTGAAGCTGACCGTGCGCGGCGCCGAAGAACAGCAAGAACACCAGTGTTAGCGCTGCCGGCGCGGTTGTCAGAAGGACGCCGTCGGCCATTCCTGGCAGACACGGCAGCTAGCACAAGACTGCACAGGGAAATATTCCTGTGTCACTAACTCGAGATAGAGCAAGTGATGGGGAATTGCATAAATGAGGGCTAATTTCATTTATAGAGCTTAATCTGGGCACTGCTGGCTGTCAGTATGGGGAGCTTGTCTTCATCGCTGTGTGAGTGTGATGCTCTACCACGAATGCGTTTAAGTTGGAATGAAGACGAGATTAAGGGCGTGTCGGATTGGAGACGTCTCAACCCCAACCGGAATGAAGCCCAAGGTTCTGGTTATTTGCAGAAAATGATTCTAATCAGCTGGCTGGATGCGGGAGGACGCCACGTTCCGTATTTTAACTAACCGAAGGAAACTCATGCAAACCGGCCCATATTCATCGAAATTCGATAAAAAATAGCATAAATCATCCACACGTAACATGTAAATAAGTCTAGTACAGCAATGTCTCAAATTCGACTAGATAAACCAGATGTCCAACAAGTTTTTCATCAACGGATCATGTCGTCCCATGCATACTGTCCCTTCAGCTTCATCCAACAGTGTGTGTACGTAAATACCCGTTCCTCTGTCCTGTGATACACCACGACAACGCGTGCGGACTACATATGACGTGTAGACCAATGTTGAGTGAATGAATCAATCAACAAGTTGAGCAAGAGGAAGTAAAACTTACGATCTCGTCCTCTGCCGCGTGCAATGGCCAACTTGCCTCGAGCCGACGAACCATGTTGCAGTACTTGGTGACGCAAATCTAGATAGCGTGCCAGCGATACGACAACGACTTCACATTGCATTGTTGAATGATGTACATGTTATAGGGCGCAATGTACTTTTATGTGTGAAACTTTTCATGCACTTGCTCTCAGAAGGGATCCCCTCTGCTCCTGCCTACGAAATCCGTGGATACAGCCAGCCACGAATCGCACAACAACTCATCCTCCATTGTCGAGTAGCTCACCATCCTTCCTACTCTAAAAAACGACATAGCATTTGAAAAAAGGCTCAATGTCATTTGACCAAACACCTGTTGGGTGTGGTGTCCGCCATGGAGGTCATCGACAGGGGGCAGAGTGTACCTGGGTACAAACGGCTCCAGGGTGAACAACTCCGCCGTAAAAGGCGAGCGGGCACATTGGTGCTGGTTGCGGGCGTCCGACAATGCCTCTGTGGCGGCCGGAGACGTACAACAACGGTGGCGGACATGGAGGGTGCGGATGCAAAGTAAGGGGGAGAAGGCCGCGGAGTGGAAGGGAATGGGACCAGGAGGGAGGATTGGGTGGGCCGTGGTGTCGAAGTCCTACATTTCGGCTGACCGGGCTCCCGCAAAGCTCCCCTCACTTTGTCTCCAATTTGCAGGAGAAAAAAATGTCCGGACCGCCCCGCAAACTGATACAGATCGCGTTAAATGGCTTCGGTGATCCGGACAAAGCGGTTCGGATGGATGCGGGTGGTTTGCGGGTCCGTCTTGGAGATGTCCTTATCTTCTTCTCGCCATGCCTCATCTCTGCTACAGCCAGTCAACAACAACACCACAGGTTTGGCGACCCTGCCACTACCGGTGAGATCCTCCACCGCTGGACCTCCTCTCTCCCTCACGCGCCATGGACGGCCTATTTTGTGCTTGCTTCAGCGGCTCGACCACCACCCTCTTGCCCCTCCCCTCTCCCCATCCTTCGAGCTCCGCCTCCCTATGAGCCGCGCGAGCCTCGCTCACGCCCGACCTCACTTCCCTCAGGTGCATCGGGGTGGTTCAGGGAATCGCGTTCGCATGTGACACCTCCTCCATGTCGTCTCTTGTTGGGGAACGTTGTAGAAAACAAAAAAATTTCCTACATTTTCACCAAGATCCATCTATGAGTTCATCTAGCAACGAGTGATCGGATGCATCTACATACCTTTGTAGATCGCGAGCGGAAGCGTTCAAAGAACGGGGATGAGGGAGTCGTACTCGTCGTGATCCAAATCACCGAAGATCCTAGAACCGAACGGACGGCACCTCCGCGTTCAACACGCGTACGGTCAGCGTGACGTCTCCTCCTTCTTGATCCAGCAAGGGGAAAGGAGAGGTTGATGAAGATCCAGCAGCATGACGGCGTGGTGGCGGATGCAGCACTCACCGCAGCAGGGCTTCGCCGAGCTTCTGCGAGAGGGAGAGGTGTAGCAGGGGAGAGGGAGGCGCCAAGACTTCAGGGTGCAGCTGCCCTCCCTCTCCCCCCTTTATATAGACCCCCTAGGGGGTGCGCCGGCCCTAGGAGATGGGATCTCCTAGGGAGGCGGCGGCCAAGGGGGTGGAGTGCCCCCCAAGGCAAGTGGAGGCGCCCCCTCCCCTAGGGTTCCCAACCCTAGGCGCATAGGGGGCCAAGGGGGGGGGGCGCACCAGCCCACTATGGGCTGGTTCCCTCCCCACTTCAGCCCATGGGGCCCTCCGGGATGGGTGGCCCCATCCGGTGGACCCCCGGGACCCTTCCGGTGGTCCCGGTACAATACCGTTGACCCCCGAAACTCTCCCGATGGCCGAAACTGCACTTCCTATATATAATTCTTCACCTCCGGACCATTCCGGAACTCCTCGTGACGTCCGGGATCTCATCCGGGACTCCGAACAACTTTCGGGTTACTGCATACTCATATCTATACAACTCTAGCATCACCGAACCTTAAGTGTGTAGACCCTACGGGTTCGGGAGACATGTAGACATGACCGAGATGACTCTCCGGTCAATAACCAACAGCGGGATCTGGATACCCATGTTGGCTCCCACATGATCCTCGATGATCTCATCGGATGAACCACGATGTCAAGGATTCAAGCAACCCCGTATACAATTCCCTTTGTCAATCGGTACGTTACTTGCCCGAGATTCGATTGTCGGTATCCCAATACCTTGTTCAATCTCGTTACTAGCAAGTCACTTTACTCGTACCGTAATGCATGATCCCATGACCAGACACTTGGTCACTTTGAGCTCATTATGATTATGCATTACCGAGTGGGCCCAGAGATACCTCTCCGTCATACGGAGTGACAAATCCCAGTCTTGATCCGTGTCAACCCAACAGACACTTTCGAAGATACCCGTAGTATACCTTTATAGTCACCCAGTTACGTTGTGATGTTTGGTACACCCAAAGCACTCCTACGGTATCCGGGAGTTACACGATCTCATGGTCTAAGGAAAAGATACTTGACATTGGAAAAACTCTAGCAAACAAACTATACGATCTTGTGCTATGTTTAGGATTGGGTCTTGTCCATCACATCATTCTCCTAATGATGTGATCTCGTTATCAATGACATCCAATGTCCATAGTCAGGAAACCATGACTATCTGTTGATCAACGAGCTAGTCAACTAGAGGCTTACTAGGGACATGTTGGTGTCTATGTATTCACACATGTATTATGATTTCCGGATAACACAATTATAGCATGAATAAAAGACAATTATCATGAACAAGGAAATATAATAATAATCCTTTTATTATTGCCTCTAGGGCATATTTCCAACAGTCTCCCACTTGTACTAGAGTCAATAATCTAGTTACATTGTGATGAATCGAACACCCATAGAGTTCTGGTGGTGATCATGTTTTGCCCTAGGGAGAGGTTTAGTCAACGGATCTGCGACATTCAGATCCGTATGTACTTTACAAATATCTATGTCTCCATCTTGAACATTTTCACGAATGGAGTTGAAGCGACGCTTGATGTGCCTGGTCTTCTTGTGAAACCTGGGCTCCTTGGCAAGTGCAATAGCTCCAGTGTTGTCATAGAAGAGTTTGATTGGCCCCGACGCATTGGTATGACTCCTAGGTCGGTGATGAACTCCTTCACCCAAATTGCTTCATGCGCTGCCTTCGAGGCTGCCATGTACTCCGCTTCACATGTAGATCCCGCCACGATGCTCTGCTTGCAGCTGCACCAGCTTACTGCTCCACCATTCAACATATACACGTATCCGATTTGTGACTTAGAGTCATCCAGATCTGTGTCGAAGCTAGCGTCGACGTAACCCTTTACGACGAGCTCTTCGTCACCTCCATAAATTAGAAACATGTCCTTAGTCCTTTTCAGGTACTTCAGGATATTCTTGACCGCTGTCCAGTGTTCCTTGCCGGGATTACTTTGGTACCTACCTACCAAACTTATGGCAAGGTTTACATCAGGTCTGGTACACAGCATGGCATACATAATAGACCCTATGGCTGAGGCATAGGGGATAACACTCATCTGTTCTATATCTTCTGCCGTGGTTGGACATTGAGCTGAGCTCAATCTCACACCTTGCAACACAGGCAAGAACCCCTTCTTAGACTGATCCATATTGAACTTCTTCAATATCTTATCAAGGTATGTGCTTTATGAAAGACCTATGAGGCGTCTTGATCTATATCTATAGATCTTGATGCCTAATATATAAGCAGCTTCTCCAAGGTCCTTCATTGAAAAACTCTTATTCAAGTAGGCCTTAATGCTGTCCAAAAGTTCTATATCATTTCCCATCAAAAGTATGTCATCTACATATAATATGAAAATGCTACAGAGCTCCCACTCACTTTCTTGTAAACGCAGGATTCTCCATAAGTCTGCATAAACCCAAACGCTTTGATCATCTCATCAAAGCGAATGTTCCAACTCCGAGATGCTTGCACCAGCCCATAAATCGAGCGTTGGAGCTTGCAGACCTTGTCAGCATTCTTAGGATCGACAAAACCTTCCGACTGCATCATATACAATTCTTCCTTAAGGAAACCATTAAGGAATGCTGTTTTGACGTCCATTTGCCATATCTCATAATCATAGAATGCGGCAATTGCTAACATGATTCGGACGGACTTCAGCTTCGCTACAGGTGAGAAAGTCTCATCGTAGTCAACCCCTTGAACTTGTCGATAACCCTTGGCGACAAGCCGAGCTTTATAGATGGTCACATTACCATCCGCGTCTGTCTTCTTCTTAAAGATCCATTTATTTTCTATGGCTCGCCGA